CCTGTTTCGATAATTCGAACCGCTGAATGTGTAGAGTTCATCGAGTACTTCATCCCTGCAAAAAATCACGTTAATAGGATACCAATAGCCATTTGATCAAATCCTATTCCAGTTAATGGTAAATATGATTTTAAAAAGAAATTATTGACAGAAATCTGATTCGGTCAAGTAGCTATCGATATCTGATCAACCTGATTTTTTTGTAAGAATGAAATAGTCGATGAACTCTATGCATTGAATGGTTTGAATTATCAAAATAAGACTCGTGGTAAGCCCCATAAGCCCGAACAATACAGTCTAGTCTATTATGTGAACTGGACATGATCTGATTCCATATCTATACTATTATATATATGGGAAAATGTTTGGGACCCCTACAAAGGAGGACCCTCACTACCCCAACTGATGTATTGACCATTGATGTATCAGAATTTTTTTTTCCTATCTACGATAGTGACATAAATGATCCAGATCATTTTAAGAGTTGTGGAGTTCTGTTTTGTGCGAGTCTCTATCATTATTGCATATATATGTGAAGGCTTGAAGTGCGTAGGCCCGTGATGGTTTGAAATGTTGTTGACACAATGTAATATTAAAAAATAAATTCATTTATAATAATAAAAACTTTTAGTCTCTCAAGTCAAAAAGTAATAAAAATAAAAAAATAAAAAATTGCATTTTGACCTTGAAATTTATTTATTTTGAAGTACATTTCTAAATATTATTAATGATAAGTATTACATTATAAGACATAAATAAAGGCTTTTATTAAGGATTTGATTTATTTTAAGTTGTTATCTCAAGTTGAGAAAATGTTTAGGTTTAGTAAGCTCATTGTGAGACTGATTTCGGTAATCAGAACTGTTTACTTTTTAGAACTTCTAAGGATATATGTGAAGAAAACATTAAATAAGCATAACTACTCTTGTATAAAAAATAGTAGAAACTTTTAAAGTTGAGTTTGTTTTTACATAGAGACCAAAATACCCCTTTGCATTTCTCTCAATTTCACCGCTTAATGTCTCTTCCATTATTTTATTTTCTTATAAATATGATTTATTTATTTATTAATTTTCAATGCATATACTGATCATATAATTGTAAATAAAGTATTTTTATTTATTTGATTTATTATCTTTTGAAATAAATTGAAATGTATTTTTATTTTTATTTTTTGTTGTAATATTATAGCATTAGTGGATTGATTGATTTATTTATTTTTTATTCCAAGAAATTTTTATTTATTTAAAAAAATATCTAATTTTTAAAAATCACCATATTTATTACTACTTGTATTTTACATTAATATTTCTACCAGTAATTTACATTTCCCATACAAGTGGAAGTTGTTTGGAAAATGCTATGGACCCCAAATGAATTACCAAATTTTCTACCAAACCTCCCACATGAATGTGGGACTCACACAAATCATATGTGTGTGGTTTGGTAGAAAATTTGGTAATTTATTTGGGCCCCTAATATAACTCTTACTAATTACATTCTTAACATGTTAACAAGAACCGTAAATAAATGTTCAAAATATGCCTACCTACATATACTCATAAAGTTGGATTGTCTCCAATCCTATATACTAGTCTAATTTTGGATTTATGGGAAGAGCACAAGTTACATTAATGATCAAAATCATTTATTTTTAGATACTATGTATAGTTTCGTTGAAAATCATATTAATCTGATAAATATAGCCACATTATTTCAATGTATTTATTCTTAAAAATGGATGATATATTTTTAAAATTATATTTATCATTCACTTTTTAAAAACAATACATTGAATTTATGTGATTACGCTTTATTAATTTAATATAATTGTTTTCAAATATGATTTATACATAAATATGTAAAGGATCAATTATCTGAAAATCATGGATGTGAATGTGATGACCGGGTGCGCTACACGTTTCTTTTTCCTCATTTAACTTTGGGTTGGTTATGTTGGGATGTCGGTTTGACTTGAAATCTTATTAATCGCTTGGGTTTGTTCTGTACGGGAATCCTTCTCAAAATTTTGTTCATGTTTGTCCTGGTGTTGAATTTCTCTAATTTCGAAGAGTGAGAGGTTAGGTTCGAAGTGCCTAGAATTGAGCCGAGAAAATTCTGGGCTGGAAGACCAGGGCCGCACGAGCGAGGCCTTGGGCCGCACGTGCGAGAGATCAAGCCGCACGTGTGGGAAGGTGTGACATTTTCAGCCTTGCACATTGCATTATATGCAGGTGCGGGCTAAGTGCGGATTGGAGGGCCGCACGTACGAGGATCAGTGTCGCACGTACGGGAAGCAGGCTCCGCACGTACGGGGCACTGGGCAGTCTGAAATCTTTGTTTTTTTTTTTTCTCTTTAGGGCTGTGTGTGTATCACTTTTAGCCTATCTCTCTCTCTCTCTCTCTAAAAATCATTTCCTCTCCCTTCTCTCTACATTCCATACACCGAAACTCTTCAAACTATTGATCTCCTTAGATCCATTGCATCTTTAACCCAAGTTCCTTCATCAAAGTTGAAGAGCTCCTCAAGAGCTACATAGTGTACGGTGGAGATTGGATTTTGGCACCATCAATTTTTTTTCTCTTTAGGGCTGTGTGTGTATCACTTTTAGCCTATCTCTCTCTCTCTCTCTCTCTCTCTCTCTAAAAATCATTTCCTCACCCTTCTCTCTACATTCCATACACCGAAACTCTTCAAACTCTTGATCTCCTTAGATCCATTGCATCTTCAACCCAAGTTCCTTCATCAAAGTTGAAGAGCTCCTCAAGAGCTACATAGTGTACGGTGGAGATTGGATTTTGGCACCATCAATTTCTAGGGTTTCATCTCTTTTCTTCTTCAAAGCTTGAGGTAGGGACTTCTTTGAGTTATATATACTTGTTTGTGAAAGGTTGATGTTGATTTTGAAACTTTTTTAGAGATATTCCAAGGGTTTTGGTTTTTGACTCAAGAAATTGGTGGCTTGTGAAAGAAATTCATCTTCTGTTTCATTAAAAGATTTTCTTGAGTAGTTGAAACACATTTGCATAGAAATGATGTTTTTGGTGGGGTTTTGTCAAGATAATGAAGAAATATATTGTTGTGTGGAAAAACCTAGAAATTTGGGATTTTCCTTAAATGAAAGAAGATGGGGGTACATGGTTGATATTATATATATGTATATGTATTTACTTTGTTGTGTGTCATGATAAGTAAAGAAAATGGAGGATTCGTTGTTTTTATACAAATGCATATATATTGATGACGGTTTCTTAACATATGAGAATCGTTGGGATTGGAAGTTGTTGTCCAAATATTTGTTATAGTTTTTGAAATGGTTAAAATGATGGAAGTGTATGAATTATGGGTTTATTGTTATATATTGATAAATGATAGCAACTTTTGGCCATTGTTTGGAATGGCATTGAAAAGGGAAAACGGAAGTCTTGAACTTATGAAACATGTATTGGAATTATGTTGAAAGTAGAGAAACATGACGTGGTATAGATAATTGTTGCATTGGCTCTTCTAAAACCTTGCATGTCATGAACATTGAATTGGGATTTGAAACTTTCATCGAGAATGAAATATAAAATGAAACCATGGAAATGTTTATGGGGTAAATACGTTGGTTAGTCCGGATAGGAGGTGTAGATGGAATTGATTAAGTTGGCCTGAGTGTCTGGGGTGAGAGACTGAAAACACGCGCGGAGGAGGTACCACTTCCCTCCCAGTTAGCAACCGGTAAAGTGGGGTTTTTGGTAGTGCTAGTTATGCTTACTTGCAGACACCAACCTAGGGATTACTTGAGTCGTATTTACCGCCCCAATGAATAAATTTGTAAACTTCTGAATTGTAGAGAATTTTATGCATGGTGGTTGTCAAAGAGATGTAAAAGAAATCTTTATTTTAAAGGCATTGCATGGCATGTGCATTCATATAGTGAATTCTTGGATAACGTATATACTTTGTTAAGATTTCTCTACTGCGCTTTATGCTCACCCCTATGGGATTTTGGTGCAGGAAAAGATATGATAATCTCGCCGAATTGAGGGCGTGGACATATTTGTGAAGAGTAAATGACTCTAGTCTTTGTTGTGATTTATTTTGCTAGCCAAGGGCTAAAAATGTATGGGTTCGTGGAACCATTTTTGTGTAACCGAGCTAAGCCTTGAAAATTGTAAGCCCATGAGGGCATTTATTTATTTTTGGGATTTGATGTTCTACATGCTATAGATTCATGTATTTTTATGCCATTGAATGTATAATTCGCATGTGGGACTTTTGTACAAACCTTATTCATAAGTGGTGTAAAGGTTGGAGATTTGCTATTATTCCTCAATGGATGTTGGTGGATGTACCTAATTTGTGTTGAGTTATTTTGGGACATTACAGTGAAGCTTATGATGGACCCATGAACCCAAAACTTGATAGTCTAGTCTCCAAATGCTTACTGTATCCTAAGATTAAAGGTTTAAGGAGGTTCAGGACAGATAGCTACACCCATATTCATATCGTTCATGTAACCCAGCAAATTTCAATAGGGAACGGAAGGAATTTTGAAAAATAAAAAGCAAAACTTATCCAATGACATATTTTATGAATACTAATTTTAATAATAAAGTTAGGCCTGGCATCTTTCTACTTTAGATTTAGATTGAAGGGTGCTTTCCGAATTTGTAGAGTCCATTATGAGTCCTGTTTTAACGATATGAATAGTTTATTTTGATGGACTCTTCATCTATATTATTCACAAAATAATTAGGTCCATCTAATGATTGTAGCCTATTAATTTATCATATTTTTTCACAAAATAAATAAATAAAGAAATAAAATAGATGGTTTATTTTAAAAAATACACTTGTTGTCTATATATATATATATTGGAGATATGCAACATATTGAATAAATTACGATTATCAAATCGATCTAATTTTTTTTATTATAAATAATATAAAAAAAACTGAACCTACCAAATTAACAATTTAAATTTTCAAAACGGGATTAGTATGCGCCATACATGCCAAGATAGAATCCTCTTGTCTAGAAGCCCGTCCTTGAAGGTATCCTTTCCTTTAATTATTCAACCACATCAGAATGTACAATAGACCCTCTTGCGTGAAATTATTTTATCCGAAATACCTGCACGTATTTGATCTACTTACAGATAAGTCTATGGCCAGAATTAGCATTAGACAAAAATTAAAAAAATTATAAATAAATAAACCTTGATTTGAAAAAGGAAAAGAAACTTAGGTAGATTTTAACCTCTCAAACGTTGAAGAAAATGAAAATAACACGACCAAGATATGAACCATACAAATCCAGCACCATCAACCTTGCTCAATCCTGAGTTATGGTAAGAGATATTCAACTTTCAATAAAGAGTGTACATAAAAGAAAATTCTGCACAAACACGAAAAGTCATAAAGAGAAATGAAAACGTTGGACGGAACTGTTGATATCACCCCATGTGAAGGGGGTGATTCTCTTCACATGTGAACACACATAGCACACCAAGTCAACAATGGAGGCTATCAAGAATGGAGGCCACCAACCATGTCAAGGAAGGCGGCCAGCCAATTCACATGGAAGACTCCCTCTCCTCCAATGTGTATAAATGGAGGTTGAGAGGAGAGTTGAATGAGTGAGCAAACCGAAAGGACAAACCAAAGAGAGTGAGAGATGCGAGACGGAGAGACCGTCTCTCTCGGTGTGAGAGAGGGAGATGGGAGAGTGGCTGAGTGAGGAGAGTGTGAGCTCCTCCTCTATTGTAATCTTTCTGTAATCTTTCCATTGGTATAGTGATAACCGGTTACTCTCCCGTAGATGTAGGCTTTAATGCCGAACCACGTTAAATATGGTGTCTCCTTCTGTGTGGGTGTGTTTTTCTGCTTGCTATGATTTCTATAAGGTCTTGGGCAGGATCCCAGATTCCAACAATTGGTATCAGAGCCTCATTGGTGCGTTTCGGAACAAAAACAATGCGTTGTTCGAAACTGCCCAGAAATGAAGTTGCTCGAAATCAGGTTTTGAGCATACTAGGAGCAAGAGCTCGACGAAAGGAGTCCAAATATGCAAAGTAGAGCCCTAGAGGAGCCCGGACGCGCCCTCACGCGCCACCTGAATAAGGCGCGTGAGGCCTAGTCTCAGCACGCGCGGCGAAGGAAGAAGACGAGTAGGGAGGCGCGTGGGTATGACATCAGCGTGACGTCAGCGAGCCGTTGACTGAAGCCGACCAAGCCGTTGACCTAGCTGTTGACCAGAGCTGCCAAGCCGAGCCGGATCCGAGCTGCCAAGCCGAGCCGGAGTCGTTGACCAGTTGTTGACCAACCGTGCCGCCAGCCGCTGACGTCAGCCAAACCAGAGGAGTTATCAGGTGCAACGCGGCTAAGGTGTAGCCGTATATCTGAGGCATACAAAATGTTTTAGCTAGATCTAAGTCATTCGGAGTCCGTTTTTGGCGATCCAACAATGCTTTCCAACTATTTGGAGTATTTTAGACACATCCGTACAGTCAGATTTTGGAATCGGTTTTTTTGTAAAAAGAAGGTAGATTAAAGTGGCAGACGGCATCAGGTACAGCGGATGGAATATTCTGTTGGTACACGAAATATTCCTTGAACTTCTAAAAATTGCAATTTGGCCCAGAATTTTTCAGAAAATTGTGGTGTGGCCCAACTTTTGGGGAAATTTTTCAGTGAGGTCCCCGGAAGTGCAGCGAAGGTTGGTCCTAGCTAAACGGACCGCTCCGGACGCAACCGCGAGGTCAGAATAGTGAAATTCTAAACAATTTTGAAAGATTGTCAAAGCATGGGAGTTTGTCATCTTCAACACTCGAAGGAAGGTTGACGGATATTGTGGAACGCTGCGGATTCACTGAAGAGGTTAGAATGGACAGATTCTGACCGGATTAGACAACCAGATACAAATCGAGATAGATCATTGAAGACCAAAGGAGATCAGGCTTAATCAAATGGCAAATCAAGGGAGATCAGGATTGGTCAAGGGCGATCAGAAGAATTGCGCATGATTATCTCAAGATCAACAATGTCTAGGAAAGTTCTGTAAAAAAGACACTGTCTAAGGAGACTGGTTCTTAAGTGGGACCGGTTGTGACCCCACCAGTCTTTCCTGGGAACTTTCTTGGTTGTTGATGTGATCGGAGGTAGTTCAATCAAAAGTCCACTTCATTAGATAGATGATTTGGCAACAAGTACAGGCTCAGGGAAATGCTGTGGCTGTTGGAGCTACTGTATACGAGTAGGCACTGATGGTATGTGGACGTGTAGAACAATAGTTGCAGAGGAGCATACTAAGCGCAGAAGCACAAATGCAGACGTGCAGCAGTACAAGGGTACGCTAGAGTGTCGTATAGAGGCGCGAGAAGAGTGTGTAGCAACGGGTTGTTGAAAATTCATAGGAACTTCCAGACAGAAATTAAGACAGATAATACGCAAGAGTGCGCGCCAAGGAGTGGCAAGTTTTTTTCTCTATGGTGGTTTCTTTAGTTCCATGGCAGCAGAAGATAGAGTTGATGCGGATCTCTCAAACAAGCTCGACGCAGGGAGACCAGAAGCCATGGGTGCGAGCACTATGCAAGAAAGTGCATAGCTGACGATGCTTTGACAGATGGAGCTACTGTCAACCATCAATCTACTAGACAGCAAATCAGGGGTTGTAAAGGCACAGACAACAAGCGTATGTGGAAACGCCAGGAGGTTGTTCAGAAGTGCAGAGGACAAAGGCTGATAGTTCAGAGGAAAAGCTCAGAGTAAAGAAGACCGAGGACGTTGATGAACAACGAGTTTTTTATTGCTCCAAAGACTTGTCCTGCAAGATAAGGCATGACAGTCAAGGGCATCCCAGCTGGGGGTGCAGGACATCCAATCATGGGGTGTCGGATATCTTGGTTGCACAAGTTCAAGCATAGCAAGTGTAGACATCCGAGACAGGAAGCGTGGAAGAGATCTGTGGGAGATAGGAGCAGAGGCTCTCTCCAAATCAGAGTGTGGTGTGAGTTGAGTTGAGGATGTAGGATTCCCTCCTCCTCTTGTATCTCTGGTGTATTATCTCTAGCTTTCAGGGGATGCATCGTCTCAGTGAGGAGATGCAGACTATGTTGAATTTGGGCGTGACAAGATTAGCAGCAGTGTGTGCATTGGATCACCTCACATGGGTTGAGGGGGTGATTTGTTGATATCACCCCACCAGAAGGGGGTGATTCTCTTCACATGTGAACACACATAGCACACCAAGTCAACAATGGAGGCTATCAAGAATGGAGGCCACCAACCATGTCAAGGAAGGCGGCCAACCAGTTCACATGGAAGACTCCCTCTCCTCCAATGTGTATAAATGGAGGTTGAGAGGAGAGTCGATGAGTGAGCAAACCGAAAGGACAAACCAAAGAGAGTGAGAGATGTGAGACGGAGAGACCGTCTCTCTCGGTGTGAGAGAGGGAGACGGGAGAGTGGCTGAGTGAGGAGAATGTGAGTTCCTCCTCCATTGTAATATTTCTGTAATCTCTCCATTGGTATCGTGACAACCGGTTACTCTCCCGTGGACGTAGGCTTTAATGCCGAACTACGTTAAATATGGTGTCTCCTTCTGTGTGGGTGTGTTTTTCTGCTTGCTATGATTTCTATAAGGTCTTGGCCAGGATCACAGATCCCAACAGGAAATATTCACAGAAACTTAAAAGAGCACATAATTTAAACATGTAAGTCTGCAAAATAAAAAGAGATACCACTAAGATTTTAACACCATGTGAGATTTTAAATCTCCTTGCTTCCTTGATACCGGCAAGATTCACAAGAATTTTCAAAATCAATTTTCTTCACCTTTGTGTATCTTAATGTCTTACCAAACCTAAACAATAAAAAGAAAAATTGAAAAATATAGCTTTTGCAAAGTGTATTTATTAAATTGAAACAGAACATGATCAACCCATGAAGAAAGAGAAATGAAACGATAACTACCAAACAAAAGTCTTTAACTGTAAAAGTTTATAGTGGTTTGTTTAAACCAAGGATGTGATCAAAGAAAAGTTTAAGCAAATAATAGCTCACCTTAGCTTTTTGCTCAGCTATCTGCAAATCTTGCAATGAATTGAAGAGGAAACACAAGACAGTATTTTGGACTTTATTGTTGCATATCCGTGGAATCATAAAAGCATAATAAATACTCACTTACAATAATAATAATAATAATAATAATAATAGTTAATAAAAATATAAGCATGATGAAATACTGAAATAAAATATGAATGATTGGAATAATTTTTTATCTTATCTCCCTTGATTGAATAGTTTATTTGGTCAATTATGTATAATAATTTAAGTTAAGTTACAAATACACCCTTAAAATTTATGAAAGTACAATTAAATGCTTATAACACTGCTTGAATGCATTACTCTTGAAAACTCACTTTAAACTTAATAGCTTAAACCAACTAGATTTGTTTAGTTGTTATTCCTCTACATTCTTATTTGTGATATCAAGGGATCAATCCTTTGCTATGTTATTTTATTCTATTATTTTTTTACTAGAGTTATTTTTTAAGTTAGTTGTTGGGTTTCTATTCAATTCATATTTATAAATAATTTTCTACTAATTAATAAAAAAATAATCTTAACCATTTGATTAAACACTTTTCGAAACAATTGTTCTCGCAGTTGGTTGCTATTGTGATTTGTTAAGCTTGTAAGAATATTCGTAAAGCGGCCCATATACCACATGTTTGTTTTATTTATTTATGTATATATTTATTATATATATTTAATAAGTTTAATGGTTAATAAGTAACTAATGTCTGTTCACTATCCCATATGATGGTTTCATGGGACGTTACAACTTCCCTGATGGTGGGAAGTTATAAGGAGTTATGCTTAGATATAGGTCCAAGCCTATCTGTATATATGCGCCTATCTGTATATATGCCTGTGGTAGCCATCAAATACAGACGTTGTTTTGGTAGACAAAATAGGCTTGAAACTCTTTTTCCATATGGTTCTATGAAAGTATTCTTGTGAGTGTGTTTTGTTTATTCAAGACTTGACCATTCATGAACAAGATTCAAAGGCTTGAACATCATGACAGGATGTATTATTCTTTCTGAATTAAAATAATTTTAATTCTCACAATTCGAGCTCCTAAAAGAAGCAATCACACAAGAAGAAGAATAAGAAGAGAATTTGAAGGAGTTCAGAATTTAGAACACCAAGACATCCGATGTTGAAATCGATCCATAAGAATATTTTTGAGTTTACAAATTAAGAACTTATCTATTCCACAACTATCAGAAAAAACAAAAGAAGTGGGTTGTTGTGATCACTGGAGTTGGAGAAGGTGGAGGAACACAGAAGGCCGACATGAGTTTATCTAAATCTCTCCATTTTTTCCTTTGCTATGAATAATGCAGGCGAGTCGTTAGA